CCCCCTCGGCCATCACCACACTATTGTCTGTGTCCAGGGACTATGCATATCTGGTATGTTCTTTAGCTAATCCCTTCACCTTCTTTATCCAGTCCACCCCAACCCCCTTCTCTCTGACATTTGTCAGTCTGTTCCATGTATCCATGCTTCTGGGTCTATTTTGTTCATCAGTTTATTTTGTTCATTAAATTCCACATATAAGTGAGGTCATAGGGTATTTGACTTTCTCTGACTGGCTTATTTTGCTTAGCAGAATACTCTCCAGGTCCATCCCTGCTGTCCCAAAGGATAAGAGATCCTTTTTTACGGCTTTTTTATCCCCTCATCTGCTGATGGGCGCTTGGGCTGTTTCCCGATCTTGGCTATTATAAATAATGCTGCCATGAAATAGGGGTGCATATATTGTTTCTGATTGGTGTTTCAAGATTCTTAGGATTTATTTCCAGAAGTGGGCTCACTGGGTCAAAAGGCAGGTCCATTTTTAATTTTTTTGAGGAAGCTCCCTACCATTTTCCACAGTGGCCGCACCAGTCCACACTCCCGCCTGCAGTGCACTCGAGTTCTCTTTTCTTCACGTGCTCACCAGCACTTGTTGTTTGTTGATTTATTAATAGCTGACATTCTGACAGGTGTGAAGCGATACCTCATTGTAGTTTTAATTTGCATCTCTCTGATGATTAGTGACTTTGAGCATTTTTCCACATGACTATTGGCCACCTATATGTCCTCTTTGGAGGTGTCTATTCAGATCCTTTGCTCATTTTTTAATTAAATTGTTTGTCTTCCTGGTGTTGAGTTGTATAAGTTCTTTATGTATTTTGGAAATTAATGCCTTATTAGATGTGTCGCTGGCAAATATATTCTCCCATACAGTGGGTTCTCTTTTCATTTTGTTGATGGTTTCTTTTGCTGTGCAGAAGCTTTTTAGCTTGATGTAGTCCCATTTGTTTATTTTTCCTGAGTTTTCCTTGCCCTTAGAGACCTATCAGCAAAAATATTGCTGCGAGAGGTGTCTGAGATTTTACTGCCTATGCTTTCTACTAGGATGTTTATGGTTTTTCAACTTACATTGAAATATTTTATCCATTTTGAGTTTATTCTTGTATATGGTGTAAGCTGGTGGTCTAGTTTCATTTTCTGTGTGTGTACCTGTCCAATTTTCCCAACGCCATTTATTGACTAGGCTGTCTTTACTCTATTGTATGTCTTGCCTCCTTTGTTAAATATTAGTTGACCATAGCCCAGCTGATGTGGCTCAGTGGTTGAACGTCAACCTATGAACCAGAAGGTCACAGTTCGATTCCAGGTCAGGGTACATGCCTGGGATTGCTGGCTCAATCCCCCGTGGGGGGTGTAGGCAGCCAATCAGTGACTCTCTCTCATCATTGATGTTTCTATTTCTCTCTCCATCTCCCCTCTTCTCTCTGAAATCAATAAAAAATGTATAAAACATATTAATTGACTGTAAAAGTGTGAGTTTATTTCTGGGATCTCTGTTCTGTTCCATTGATCTCTATTTCTGTTCTTGTGCCAGTACCAGGCTGTTTTGATTACAATGGCCTTGTAGTATAGTTTGCAGTTTGGTATTGTGATACCTCCAGCTTTGTTCTTCTTTCTCAAGATTGCTGCAGCTATTCGGGGTCCTTTTCAGTTCCATATAAATTTTGGAATATTTTTTCCTAGATCTTGAAATATGCCATTGATATTTTAATAGGAATTGTGTTGAACCTTTATATTGCTCTGGGTAGTATGGACATTTTAATGTTGTTAATTCTTCCAATCCATGAACATGGTATATACTTCCATTTATTTGTTTCTTTCTTAATTTCTTTCTTCAATGTCTTATAGTTTTATGAGTACAGGTCTTTTATCTCATTGGTTAAATTTATTCCTAGACCTTATTTTTTGTTGTTGTTGCAGTAGTAAAGGGTTTGTTTTTTTAGTTTCCTTTTCTGATAGTTCATTATTGGTGTATAAAAATGCCATCAATTTCTGGATATTGATTTTGTATCCTGCAACTTTGCCAAATTCATTTATTAGATATAGTAGTTTTTTGGTGGAGTATTTAGTGTTTTTTACATACAATATCATGTTATCTGAACATAATGACAGTTTTACTTCCTCCTTTCCAATTTGGGTGCCTTTCATTTCTTCTTCTTATCTGACCACTGTGTCTAGAACTTCCAGTACTATGTTGAATAAGAGTGCTGAAAGCGAGATTAACCAAAGAACTTATATGCATATATGCATAACCCATGGACACAGACAATAGTGTGATGAAGGCTTGGGGGAGGGGTAGTGCAGGTGGTTAATGGGGAAAAAAAGGGGGGATATCTGTAATACTTTCAACAATAAATATAAATTAAAAAAAAAAAGAGTGGTGGAAGTGGACATTCCAGTCTTATTCCTGATCTTAAGGGAAATGCTTTTAGTTTTTGTCCATTGAGTATGATGTTGGCTGTGTTTCAAATATGGCCTTTATTATGTTGAGGTATGATCCCTCTATTCCCACTTTTCTGAGACTTTTTATAATAAATTTGTGCTGGGTTTTATCAAAAGCTTTTTCTGCATCTATTGATATGTTCATGTGATTTTTATCCTTCATTTTGTTTATGTGATGTGTCACATTTATTGATTTGCAGTTATTGTACCAACCTGCATCCCCAAATAAATCCCACTTGATCATGGTGTATGATCTTTTTAATGTATTGCTGGATCCGATCTGCAAATATTTTGTTGAGGATTTTAGCATCTATGTTCATCAGGGATATTGGCCTATAATTTTCTTTCTTTGTTGTGTGCCTATCAGGTTTTGGTATTGGATACTAATGACCTCCTAAAAAGAGCATGGAAGTCTTCCCTCCTCTTAAATTTTTTAGAATAGTTTGAGGAGGACAGGTGTTAGTTCTTCTTTGAATGTTTGGTAAAATTCTCCTGTGAAGCCCAGTCTAGGATTTTTATTTGCTGGGAGTTATTTATTTATTTATTAAATTTGCATGATCTTTATTGAGAATGTATCCATGTGAGCCAAATGTGACAAGCACAGGTTTAATAAGATGAACTCTAAGTTCTACAAAACCTTTTTCCTTCCTATATCTGTAGATATAATTGTAGTACTGAAAATGATAATGTGAGAGAAAGATGCATTGCAGCCAAACCTCTTCTCGCCACACCATCCCTCATGCCCCACATGTGAATGAGTTATCAGCCCCACTCGTCTTAGTCTCCAGCATCTGGAGAAATGACCTGAGTTGTAACTCCAGATCAGCTTATCAAATTCAGAGTTGGTTCATTTAAAAAGGTGAGTATTATGGCCGGCCGGGAGTGGCTCAGCGGTTGAGCGTCGACCTAGGATCCAGGCGATCGGGGTTCTATTCCTGGTCAGGGCACATGCCCGGGTTGTGGGCTCAATCAATAACTCTCTCATCATTGATGTTTCTATCTCTCTCTTCCTCTCCTTTCCTCTCTCTGAAATCAATAAAGATATTTAAAAAAAAAAAAAAAAGGTGAGTATTATATGAATTTAATTATTTAGAAAATGGTAGATGAAAGTAGAGATGGAAAATTAGAGGGAGAAGTTGAGTTCTATGGGATTTGAGGAAAACCATTATTAATTTTTTAAAGGTGATAGTTTATGCTCTTTAAGCAAACCAAGATGTGATCATGTTTAAAAATGGGCCAGAGAATTTAAAATGTTGGGAGAGACTGTGGGAAAATAATTTGCCTGTTCCACTCAGTTTAGATATAATGATGCTGTATCAGAGTATGTTCCTTAGGTCTATTAAAAAATCGTGGAGGTGAGATTTGAGTAGAAATCAAACTCCTGAGGTTAAGTCTGCAGTCAGTGGCCTGAGGACTGTTTAGCTCTTTCTGGACTCTGAAGAGAACACTGCCCCAGGTTCCAGATGTAAGACTAGGAGGTACATTCAGGTTCTTTAATCTCTAAGCCTTTCTTTGTTCACATCTGTAAACCCAGGTCTCTGATCTTGGTTTCTTCCTTTCATGATCTTGCTGTTTCTGTGCAGTGCTCCTTCTAGTGATCCCTCTGACAGTAAATTTCAATTTCTGTGTTAGTGACTTTCCTCAATAATTTAATAGCCATTTAATTCTAATGCCCTCACTCCTCTTTCCCCACATTTTGTATACATTGCTGAAACTTGAATATAAAAGTGCATTGTCCCCAAGTCCAAATCCATGTCTTTCTTATACTCTCAGCTTGAAAGCTCTGTAAAGCCATGTGTCATGCAGTGGCCTCTGGTTTCCGATGTTTTTGTTTTTGTTTTAAATATATTTTTATTGATTTCAGAGAGAGGAAGGGAGAGGGAGAGAGAGAGACATCAGTGATGAGAGAGTTATTGATGGGCTGCCTAAACTCCCCACTGGGGGTCTAGCCGGCAACCCCGGCATGTGCCCTGACAGGGAATCCAACCGGGATCTCCTGGATCATAGGTCGATGCTCAGCCCCTGAGCCACACCGGTGGGCCCTTGTGTTTTTAAAATTAGCCAGCGAGTCCCCAGAGTAGGGGAGCTGCACGCTCGCAGGATGTAGCCTTTTCCAGCCTCACTGCCTCAGGAAGGCAGCAGCAGGTGCCGTGCCCCACCCTGATGATGGAAATCGCCCCTCCCCCCAGGAGAAAGTGGAGACGCAGAGGCAGCGCTTCAGGCTGGAGTTCGAGAAGTACCGCAGCTTCCTGGCCCAGGAGGAGCAGCTGCAGCTGCGGAGGCTGGAGCAGGAGGAGCGCGCCACGCTGCAGCGACTCCGAGAGGGCCAGAGGCAGCTGGCGCAGCGTGGCAGGGCCCTGAGGGAGCTGGTGCAGGAGCTGGAGGACCGCTGCAGGCTCCCAGCCTTGGATCTGCTGGAGGTGAGGGCTCAGAGGGGCTGCAGCACTCACCACCGCGTGGAAATGACACCCTGGGGCTCACCAGAAGCGTCAGAATCAGAGGATCCTCCCGAATAATAGAAAATAGCTCACATTAAAGAGAAAGCCCTAAATATTTTAAAAAATTAATTAAATTCATGATTTGCATAACAGTAAACAGAAAAAGGACAACCTGTCCTATGTCAGCTTAAAACACTTTATTTTTTTTATTTTTATTTTTTAAATATATCTTTATTGATTTCAGAGAGAGGAAAGGAGAGGGAGAGAGGGAGATAGAAACATCAATGATGAGAGAGTCATTGATCGAGCCCGCAACCCGGGCATGTGCCCTGACCGGGAATCGAACCCCGATTGCCTGGATCCCAGGTCGACGCTCAACCGCTGAGCCACGCCCGGCCGGGCAGCTTAAAACACTTTAAAAATCCTCATCCGAGGATGCATTTTCCATTTCAGAGAGAGTAGCATGGAGAGAGAGAGAGAGAAACATCGATGAAAGAGACACATGTCGATTGGTTGCCTCCCACAGCCTGCAGAAGGTACATGCCCCTGGCGGGAATGGAACCCGGGACCTTTCCAGGCCACTGGCCGAGGCTCTAAACCACTGGGGCAAACCCGCCAGGGCTTAAAACACTTCTTAAAATTTCACAACCTGTCAATGACTATAGCGCTGTATTCAGTGATGGCCAATTCAGAAAGTCTTTGGTAACCTGTGTCAGGCAATAGCCAAGCATATGAGTAAATTTTAAATTGCCCAAGTTGGAATTTTCACATTAAGATTTAAGGCACAGCCGTAGTGCAGCCTGTCCCAGGCACGGCGGCAAGGACACGGGCCTCCTGCAGTTTGCACATAGCCTGTGTGGTGCTCTAGGACAGACAAGCTGCAGGGAGAAGGAATTATTCTCTTCACTCTGCCATGGAGGCATTCATCCAGGGGAATGGGGGGCGCCGTCACTGATGCCTGCGTGTCGTCTGACAGGACCACTGTACTAGAAGGTTCCCAGGCGTCCTTTATTCTGTCTCTTCCCTGTTGACTTCCTCAGAGGTTTCTAAATGGAGTGATTCATATCCTCATACAAGTGTGGTGACTAAGCACAGTGGAGGTCATTAAATGAAGGATTTACAAAGCATTTATATTTAATTTTACCCATTTTTGTCTTCCAAATATCTAAAAATTGTTGTCATTGTTATTATTGCTCTACCTATTTCCTTGTGAGCAAACTGAAAGTCAGAAAGGATTTTTTAATTTAAATTTTAAACAGTAGGTAAACACAAGAACTTCAGCATTTTCTTTTTAAATCCTCACTTGAGGATATGTTTTTTTTATTGATGAGAGAGAGGGGGCCGTGGGGGAGAAACCAATGTGAGAGAGCTGCCTCCCCTACGGCCAGAGGGGGAACCAATCCAGCAGCCTGGGTATGTGCCCCGGCTGGGAACTGAACCTGCGCCTTTTGGTGCACAGGACCACGCTCCAGCCCGCGGAGCCACCCGGCCAGGGCAGAACTGCAGCATTTTAAATAACATTCATTGTCTGACCATATCTCAAAACACAGCTTATTTAAAATGAGCATTCATTAGCACCAAGTAAATGTTAAAATGATTTAGAATACAAATCTTAGGAGGATATGCTCAAATAATTTATATTTTCATCC